ATGAAAATAAGTAACTGGAAATATTCAATGGCACAATAGAAAAGTAACACAAGAAAAGATAAAATATAATTAATAAATAAAAGAATAAAATGAGTCTAATAAATGATATGAATAATGATTTATATCACAACAAGAATGGAGATAAATAAAGAAAAGAAATGGTTTTAAAGAAATAAAGAATAATAAAAATAGAAAATTAATACCAGTAGTAATTTGAAACAATTGAATACAAATTTGAAATAGATAATATTAAAGAAGTTAAAAAACAATATCGTTAGAAGTATAAAAGATGTAATTGTGTATAAACTTTATCATATATAAACATGTACAGTAAAGATGCTAGAAGAGGGACCATAGATGGGATTGGTCTCAGTTGATCCAGTAACAATCAAACCCAATTCTATTAATACGTAATTATTTGTTTTATTACAACATCTTTTATTTTTTGATGTATTTAAAACAAGAATATAGATTCAATTTTTTGAATTTTCTTATATATAAAAAAAATATTAAAAATGCAGAAAACGAATATTTGAAAAGTTAAGTTTTTTGTAATATTAATGCAGTTATTTGGCTTTATTTAGAAGAAAGTTCAAAAAACTTGATATGTGAAGTTATTTGAATATATTTATTGGAACTATTTCAAAAAACTCTTCATTCATTAAAAAAATGGCTTCTCAATTTACAATAGAAACAAACAAAAAGTTTCTTCAAGAATATGACATTTCTAAAGAGGATGAGTATTTGGATGCATTTAGAGGGTATTTTGCAAATTTAAATGGTGTTAAAAACCAAATGAAATTTGAAGATATTATTAAGTCAAGGAAAAGCATTGCTGAGATTAATAGAGAATGTCCAGACACAGTTAATCCTTCATTCTGGAAGAAGTCATTTATAGACAAACTAGAGGGTGTTTATGAAGTCATTCCAAACAAATTATACCAAGTACGTGCAGAATCTCTTGATATTGCAAATTTAACTGCTTTAAAAGGACAAACTGGATGGATTATCATAGACTGTATGTCAACTGTAGATTCCTCAAATAAAGCATTTAAATTAATAAAATCTACTGTAGAAGACCTTCCTGTATCTGCTGTTGTTATAACCCATTCACACTTTGACCACTTTGGAGGATATGATGCAGTAGCAACACATGACACTCCTTTGTATATTCCAGAAACTTTTTATGAATCATTATTTGATGAAAGTATATTTGCTGGAAGTGCTATGTCAAGAAGAGCAGAATATATGTATGGAACACGCCTTAATGAATCAAAGACAAAGTCAAGTGGAAATGGATTAAATCCAAATCAAAAGAAGAGTGTTTCAATACCACATTCATCTCATACTATAATTATCAAAAAGGATAGTACTTATATAATTGATGGAATTACTTTTGACTTTATTCCTACTCCTAACACAGAAGCACCTGCAAATATGATGTTCTACTTACCTGAATTTCATGCACTTTGTTGTGCCGATAATATGCCACAAACTATGCACAATTTATTAACTCCAAGAGGAGCTAAAGTTAGAAGTGGAAAAGTTTGGAGTCAATACATAGATAATACCATTGTAAAGTATGGCAAAGATGTTCAAATTCATTTTGCTTGTCATAACTGGCCTTTATATGGAAATGAAAAAATTGTTAAATATTGGAAAACAAACAGAGATTTGTATAAGTACATTCATGATCAAACCCTTCGTTATGCTAATCTTGGATATTCACCAAATGAAATAGCTCAATTAGTCAAATTACCACCATCCTTAGCAAACAAGTTTTGTTGCAGAGAATTTTATGGTGTTTTATCATTTAATATTAAATCCCAATACCAATTATATCTTGGATGGTATGATGGTAATCCTGCTCATTTAAATGAACTTCCTCCAAAAGAACAAGCAATAAAATATGTCCAATGCTTTGGAGGAGAAGAAAAGGCTTTCCTGATTGGTAAAGAGGCATTTGATAATGGAGACTATAACTGGGCTGTAACTGTGTTAAATCATTTAGTGTTCTGTAACCCCAAAAACCTTCGTGCTAGAAATTTACTTGCTCAAACATATGACCAATTAAGTTATGTTCAAGAATCATTAGCATTTAAATATAGTTATTCCACTGGTGCAATGGAACTAAGAGAAAGTGCTTATCAAAAGCCATTAAATCCTGCAGTTGATATTGACTCATTACCACTTTATTCTTTTGGTAATCTTCTTTCTGTATCAATAAATTCAGAATTACTTGAAGGTATTGAAGGAGAGATTAAACTGATCACAACTCATCCAGAAGAGTGTATTACATTAATTATAAGTAATTGTGTTTTACATTCTAGAACAATACCTTCAGAGTCTAAGTTTTTTATAAAGATAGAAAGAGTATTGTTAGTAAAGTTATTTACTAAAGAAATTAAATTGAATAAATTAATAGAAGGCAAAAATATTGAAACTAATTGTGCTGAATTGATAATGCAGATAATTGATGCTGTAGATCTTTCAAGGACTCGTTATTCTATTATTGAACCAAAATACTAATTCAATATTTTGTTTCAATTATTTTAATAATTATTGCAACAGATTGTAAAGCATTTGAAATTCAATAGAATATCTTTCAGATTTTTGGTTATTTTCGAAGTGCCGAAATTCTATTCGTTAGACACATTCCTATAGAAACCCTATTATTCTAAATTCTATTTCAGTAAAATCCATATACTTCTTTCATTTAGATTTGGTATAGCTTATTCTTAATGCCACGAGAAAAACCAAGAGCAGATGAAATAGCTATTGAAATGATGTCAGTTTGTGAAGATGAAACAGAGGTTGAACAAGATCCAAGAGAATTATATGAAGAAGAAATGAAAGAACAGCAGCAGATAGATTGTAGTAAACAACAAAAAGAAGTTGTTGCTATAGAAGAGTCAGAGAAGAGAAATATTAATAAACATTTTTTCTCAATTCAACCAAACACTCAAATTCCAGTTATATCTTCAAATTATATAGCCCCTGTAGATACTTCAAGATTACTTGTGTTGATTGGAAAAACTAAAGCAACATATCCAATAATGAAAATGTTTTCTTTATCAGTGCTTGCAGGTATGCTTCTTTCTGTTGGAGGATTACTTTCTATTACAATAGGAAAAGGAATTCCATCATCTGACATTGGTATTCAAAAAATAGTTTTTGGATTTTTTAATAGTGTTGGTCTTAATCTTGTTGTACTTTGTGGTGGAGAGCTTTTCACTTCTAATTGTGCATTTCTTGTTCCTGGATTTATGGAAGGGTCATATTCTAGATGGTTATTTTTCAAGACTCATTTTGTTGTCTATTTTGGCAATCTAGTTGGTTCTATCTTTGTTTCTACTTATTTTGGAAAGCTTCTTGGATCATTTGAATCTCCAATGTATCTTAGTGCAGTAAAACAGATTGGAGAAGCTAAGGTAGCAATGAATTGGGGAAGAGCATTATTAAGTGGTATAGGTTGTAATTGGCTTGTATGTTGTGCAGTTTATTTCTCTGCAAGTGCAAAAGATCTTTTATCAAAGTTGGTTGTGATTTCATTCTTAGTGTTAACATTTGCAAGTCTTGAATTTGAGAACTGTGTTGGAAACATGTTTTTATTATCGCTCAGCCATATGTATGGTGGTAATTTTACCCTAGGTCAATGGATAGTAAATAATCTTATTCCAGTTTCAATAGGAAACTTTATAGGTGGTACTTTCCTGCTAGGAATACCTTTATGGTATGTTCATGTATCAAATGTTTATAATATTCCATTTCTTGATCCACTTTATCAACAACCACTGGCTAAAACACAATAATTCCATTGTTTCTTCTCTTTCATTCCAATATTTTGATATATATAACACAAATTGTTTATTTAGAGTAATAATTTAAAAGAATTTCATAAAAACAAGATTTGCTCTATTTTTATAATTCATTGAAATGACACGTGTCGATTCATATCTTCTGAAATTCATCATTATCAATAATAAACCAAATTGATAATAATTTAAAATAAAATTGTTGATGTGGAAACAAAACAGAAAAAAAAATCTATCAAACAAAGAGAAAAAAAGAGGCGAAAAAGAATCTTCTTAAGAATAATGAGATTAGAGTTTTGCGTAGTG